CACTGTAAATGTGGCTTGCAAAGCGCCAGCCTTCTAATCGCACGGCCGATGATAAGGACGGCACCCACTCGACGGGTCAAAAGCCACTCCAACATAAATATACCATGCAGTCAATTGATAAATAGTATGATTCGTGGTGCTCCAAATCGGAGAAACAGTTCAGTTGAATGGGTCGAGACATGTGGATATGCTCTAGGAGGATTTATTTCGCCCCTGCCCTTAAATGAAGGTGCAAAAAAAATTATTATGGAGCATTTAGTGTACAATTTAACAAAGGAAGAGGGATTTAATGAATGCAGCTAGAAAAAGTTTTGGAGGGCAACGCCCTGGTTTCTTCCAATTTCACTTTCCGAGGGCATCCCAATACTTATTCCCCCTTTACGTCGCAAGTGGAAACGCCAGAGATGACACAAGTAGAGGTCAGCCTGGAGGAATCTCTGTCACGTGACCTCCAACTAGCTAACTTGATTGTATTAAATTTATAGCAGAAAAAAAGGTGAGTGTAGAATGCAAACTGTACAGTCCAGGATATGCACTTTCATCCAAAAGATGCTGACCACTTTCTTTGTTCTTGTCTTATGCACAACTACTTGCGTCATCATGCTAAGTATATCTGCTGCAGGTGTAACCAAAAAAAAAATACAATTCAAATCGGGAAATCAGTTTGGATTCAATAGTAACACTTCTAGGATATAAACATTAAAAACAAACAAAAAAAAAATGTAAAGAAAAAGCTAACGAGCTAAGCTACTAACGAATGCCATATTTAGTCATTTGGGGCGGGGGGGGGGGCAATGATAATCCAGTGACGAGGCTCTCCTTAGATATGAATGTTTACCACCGTCTCCAAATTCAATATTTATGTACTATTTCGACCACTTGAGTATGTGATGGTCATGAGGCATCACTCTGTTTCATCTCCACCGCATCCAATTTCCTTCACAGGATGAATCTCAAGTATTTGTCTTTATCTTTGGCTGACAGCTGCGCTACTGCACTTTTGTAGTTGCCGGTCACGGCAAATGTTTGCTGTCACCGTAAAGAAGATTGAAACTTTTTGATGAAAACTGTTTGTGTCCCTCTTTGCTCCACAGGGGAACTTCATTTGATTTTCCTCACAAAGCAACAGCCCGTAGTTTTATTTGCTAACTTCTTCTTCTTCTTCTTCTCCTTTCGGCACGTCCCTATTCAGGGGTCGCCACAGCGAGTCAGTAATTTCCATCCGCCCCTGTAAACCGTCCTACCAACTCGCATGGTCGTCTTGGCAAAAGTTTTACACCGGATGCCATTCCTGACGCAACCCTCCCCATTTCTCCGGGCTTGGGACCGGCACTGGGGAACAGTGCACCCCCAGGGGAGGGCACTGCCCCCCAGCGACTGGGTTAGTTTTATTTGCTAACGTCTTCCTGAATTAAGTAGTCCTTTGCACGAGAAGAGAAAAGGGGAGTACTTGATGTGACGATAAATGAAGCATTTAAGTACGTGGTTTAAGGTAATTGGTTTTAATCAAAGAAAACTTGATCATTCAGTTTTTATGAGACACTTTGAGGGCATTGCAGGCAATTGTTGTATTTGCCCTAATGACAAGCCCACTCCTGAAACAGAAAGCTTGACATGTTGTATGCTTGGTGCTGTCAAAAATCGAGTTTGTTTGAAAAGTTCTGAGGTCTTTTTTTTTTTTTTTATAACTTTTTGGTTTCATGTGTTCTCAAAATTGCACAGCAGGACATAATAAATGCTCCGTCAGGTCAAATAGGCTACACAGGCTGTTGGGTTTCCCACCCATGCCACAGGGGGAGATACAAAAACAGTATGTTAGGTGACAAAAAAGATTGCCAAAGTAGACGCATTGCTAATAACAACACTAATAGGAAGAGAACTGCTTTGAACACTTTGCCCTGATCAATACAATAAAGCAATCAGCAACGTCAGGGGGCCAGCGCGTTTTGAGGACTTTTTATGGCTTTACAGCCATAGGAGGAGTTTGGCTGCTTTCAGCTCCAACTACCCACCATCCACCCATAAATAACGTGTTGACACAAGTGTGGCCCTTTTTAATGCAATAAAAAAAAAAAAAGGGGGGGAGAGCGAGAGAGAGAGAGAGAGAGAGAGAGAGAGGCTGGGCTCTTTTTCATCAACTTGGACAAATGACTGGCAACAAAGTCCAAAGAGTCTCCCGTTTGAGGAGGTGCACATGAATCCAGAAAGTTCTTGAGAGCTTGAACTTTGCTCAGGTTGGCCATAAAGAGAGAGAGGAAAAAAAAAAAGCAGACAATAAATGTGAGCAGTCGTGAACTGCATGACATGAGCGAGAAAGCAAAAGGGACCTTCAGACAGTCAATGATCAATTCTTCCAACATGGCAGTCAGTGGACCAGAGGTGAGGGAGCAAAAAAAAAAAAAAAAAAAAGTTTTTGGTCAACATGACTGGAGAAGCATCGATTCATGGCTGAAACGTAGCTTGATGATTCATTTAGAAAAAAAAAGTCATTCAGCCTTTACCGGGCTGGAACAAAACTTGATCAGAATTTCACTTTTGCTTCAGGTCATGGAAAAGTACTGAGTCAGTGGATGCACTGCCCCCTTGTGAAGAAGTCTCAAAGAGCAAAGAACTCAACGCCTTTTTGCACGCACCTTTTCTTTCTTTTCAGGTGACAGCTAAGACTCTCTTCACACAGCGAACCTGCCGTAACAGAAAATCCGGTGCAGTGTGATGCAGTTAGAATCAATCTGAAGCATCTTGCATCAAAAGATAATTATACTGGTGACAACAACCCCCTTTTACGCTGCCTTTAAAAAAATATAGGGCATTATCACATCTTGACATCGTCTGTATGAGCAGCACCATCAACATCATCCCTGTCTGCATTTTGAGACAGTACTAGAACTGAACAATTAATTGAATTCAAATCGAAGATGCAATGTCAAGTAAAATCTTTGCAACTGCTACAATTTGGGTGGGGTGGGGCATTACTTTGCTTCTGTCGGGGGGATTTTTAAAAAAAAAAACTATTTTCTTTGTTAGATATTCATTCATTCATTTTCTGAACCGCTTTATCATCACTAGGATCACGGGGGTGCTGGAGCCTATCCCAGCCGTCTCCAGGCAGTAGGCGGGGGACACCCTGAACCGGTTGCCAGCCAATCGCAGGGCACACAGAAATGAACAACCATTCGCACTCGCACTCACACTCACACGTAGGGACAATTTGGAGTGTTCAATCAGCCTGCCATGCATGTTTTTGGAATGTGGGAGGAAACCGGAGGACCCGGAGAAAACCCACGCAAGCACGGGGAGAACATGGAAACTCCACACAGGAAGGCCTGAGCTGGAATTGAGCCAATATCTCAGCACTGTGAAGTCGACGTGCTAACCACTCGACTACCGGGCCGCCCCTGTTAGATATTGTCTAGGTAAATGCAGTGTTTAAGGAGCATTCTACGTTTACCTATCCTTGGTTGGCAAAACATGAACAGTTGAAGTGATGTCACAGATTTGTTCAGGTTATTGTAATTTGATTTACTGACATGATTATTCTACGCACGCGCACACACACATGCATATCCATGCTGTATACATATCAAGATCTATACATATAAGTAACATATAGAAGTCCTCTCTCCTGAGGAGTTCAATTTGTCACATGCTCGCTGGGCCGCTCGACTGCCGCTTGCTCACCCACTGTGGGGCAGACCGTGGATTAGTTGACCCCCACCGGAGTGGGAGTAACAACCCCCATTGTCCGGTCAGCAGGCCTGGCAGTCTGGGGATCCTCCCCAGGATCAGATCACGTCCTGCAGGGGAGGAGATAGTGGCGTCTCCGACACCCTGAGGCATCCCTGGCAGGTTGCATATGCCCTCCCCCACAGTCAGTGAGAGTGATAGACTGCCAGAGTTTCCTGATGCTATTGTGCCATTCACGATTTTGTCACAGCTTCATAATTTTACAGTTTAAAATGAGCTCCATTCAAAATCGAGCCTTTAAAAAAGACAACCAGTAAACATGTCCATCACGTAGTGCGGTTTCCAATTCTGTCCCTCACATTTGAAAATTTAACGTTGGTTTTAAACACCAAAAGTAGTGAGAATTCACTGATACAACATATGCTACTCTTTCTGATTCAGCTTTGCAGGTCGATTAGACAGAGTTGCTTTTATGAGTTTTTTTTAATGACGTTTCCTTTTATGTGCACTTTTTATTAACATCTGTTTTATGTGGCTATGGAGAACACATTTTTCATGCGGCTTAAATAAATTATGATTATAATTATTGTATCGAGAATGCGTCATCTAAAAAATATATATATATATATATATATGATCACATTCCTAAAATAAGTGCCTTTTTGAGAAAAACATACTTTTTGCCTTGATGCTGGAGATTGTCTCAATCCTCCATTGATCAGGTCATGCGATTCTACACTGAAAATAATGGAGAAAAATAATTATATATACACACACACACACACACACACACATATAAAACGAGGAAGGTGATGGTATTGTATATTACCTAATATCATACATGGAAAATTGAGGTGCCAATAATCGGGTCAGCTCAAATCAATGGGGAAACATGCAACGATAACTTTTCGGCCCATGTTGAGGTGCATATACAAAATTTGAATGTGGTTAAAAGGAAAACAAATATTTTAAGGTGAGCACTGTATATGTAATATTGTATATAGCCTGGCGCATGTCTTTTTTTTTTTTTTTTTTTTTACAAGATGCAAGGCTACTCTCATCTCTTCATTAGCATAGCTGACCCATAGCACTCTGGTGTGGAGTCATTATTGAGGTGTTAGCATTGTCAATTAGCACATACCTCCTCATCTATGATCTGCCGACTCCTCTGTGAGGGAGACGCTGCACAGCGGGAGAAAAGCAACAACAGGGTAATTTGCCCCCACAATCCTTTACACATCAGAGCTCGACTTGAAAAAACAAAAACAACAAAAATGTCGTTAACAATCCTGCAGAACAAGCTGGAAAAAACAAACGGTAGTAGCCGTTAATTGGCAACTTTTATTTGATCTATGTGGTTTGTTTTAAAAGCACTTGTTTGCGATACAGACCGAAGAGTTTTTTTCACGATATACGTCGTACAGCATATGTCAAACATTCATTCCAAAAAGGAGATGCGACCGACATATTTCCGACATGGACCAACAAATCAAACAGAACATTGGCATTTTGAATAACAAACCAAGACAACACAGCCACAGTTTGGCATCATCGGTGAAAAAAATGTAACATAGTAAGAAAAAGTTTCAGTCTTTAACATAAACAGTGCTTGTTTGTGGCCTTCTCATTGAAGTAAGGCAAATTCCCTCCCAAAAATTATTAGTTTTTGACTATAACATAAAACATTGATGAGAAGATACCCCCCCCCACTCACACACACACTTGAAACTTAGAACACAAGTAAAGATGTTCTTATGCACGATGCAAAAAAAAAAAAAAAAAAAGAAAATTAAAGCAGTTTCTTTACGCTACATATTAGGAAAGGCGGGGACACCTAAATATCCTATTTTTTCCTTTTTGGGCAGAAATACAAAATAATTTATTTACAGTCCCACCTAGGAGTTCTAATAGATTGTACTGTATTTCAATTAACGCTGTCTTTTTGAGCAGAAATGCACTTAAATTAAAGAGCACCTTATCCCCCACGACCTCCAGGGAAAGGGATGAGTAGATTCTTGGAAGCAAATGGCAGCAAAGCTCATTGCAGAAAATTGAAAACGAATGTTTGGATGTTTAGTCAACAAGGTGGTATTCAACTTGTGTCCTCACAAAACTGAATGCCGACCCGCTCGTGTTGCTGTTTCAGAACCGCACGGCCTCTCTTCCTGTCTCCTTAAAAAAATACTCATAGAAACATGAAACCTGCCACGCGATTACGAAGCAAACAACTTCAATTTTGTTATTTGATGTGAACTGTTCTGTAAAGCGCTTTGTTACAGCTGCAGCTGTTGTGAAAGCGCTATATAAATAAAGATGTAATGTAATGTAATTCCATATAGTATGCTTCCCCATACAAAAAAGGATCAAACTTGGCTTTTGGGGGGGAACAAAACAAGAGAGGGATCCAACCTCACGGACTTGTGTGTTGTCATACACAGTCATGCCCAGGGTGAGATTCAAGAGATGTGCCCTTCAAGTTGGCGAAAGGGTCCAGAGGCAGGATAAAGGGGTGTCCATTCAGTATGTTGTTCAGGTTATGCAACTGAATAAGACGGGATGCGCTTTGGTGGCTGGTGGTGCATTTGTGTGTGTGTGTGGGGGGGGGGTCTGACATTAGCGTCTAATAGAGGAGGATGCGGCGCTCAATGGCCTTGCGGCAGATGGGACACTCGCTCATGCGGTCGCCGCACAGCTGGCAGGTACCGTGGCCGCACATGAAGATCATGTTCTTGAGCCGGTCCAGACACACGGGGCACATAGTCTGGGGACGGAACAGAGTGCACATCTTGGTGAAGGAAGTGCACCCACTTGTTACATCTCCGCAGTTTACAGGTTTACCAATAAACTTTGATGAAAAAAAATCAAGGTTAATAAAAGTGTTCATGTTACCATTTAAAACTTGAATTGACATGACAATGGGAAATTATGTAAATTGTGGCCACAATGTCGATACAATATGCACATAAAAGGCTAATTTGTGGCCACAAAATACTCAGTTACGGCCACAAAATACTAATTTGGAGCAATAAATGGAATAAGTGGACAAAATGCTGATTTGTGGGTAAAATATCATTCCCATGAGCAACTGGGACATTTGGGAATCAAATTGATCGCACCGTCACAAGAAACCTGAAACTTCCCTTCAACAGAATGTTGAATTCACTTCGGTCACCACACTATCGTGGAACGATTATGTATTTTGTTTACGCATTATATCTTCTTTGTGGCAACAAATGAGCATTTGGTGCTATATCTATATTGTGCGCCCCTCCAAAAAGCCCATGTCAAGTGTGGTTGCCATCCGCAAGTTTTTCTTGTTTACATTTAACGTAGACAAAGAAGATGGATTCATGGAGAAAACCGCAACCACTCATTTATATGTTGGAGGGAAAAGTAAGTATGCAAGTATTCTTGACCAGCCCCTGTGGAGCAAAGCTCAGTCCTGTAGCCGAAAGCAGGGACAGCAAACACCAGGATGAAAAGCTTCAGTGGGCAAAGCTGGATTTCAGCGGTAAGAGAAGGCATCTAACTATCTTCCAACTATGCCAGACAAATCATGTGAGTGACATGACGTGGCAACCATTGACAGCAAAAGCCGCAGGTTGCAGACGATAATGCCAATAATAGTGTTCATTTTGGTCATGATAAAGGTGACATTGCGATACATTTCTCGTCTGAACACTGGCTCACCTGCTCCTTGATGTCCTGCAGCTGCTGCTGGAGCTTCTGAACATCAGCGTTGACATTGGTGTTGTCCTTGTCCCGCTGCAGGGCGGGGATGTTGCCGCTAGCTGTTTGGACACATCCAAACGACACACACAGACACGTTGAGAGGAAACATCTGAGTCTGCATTTATGACTTGCTCTGCCAGCGCCATTATATTACAAGCATAAGGAGCGCACTTGCCTGAGAAGCCCTTTAGCCTTGTGTTGTTGTTTAAGAGATATCATTTAGCACGGGCAAATACATTAGGCATATTGAAGTCTGCAGCAACTGTAAAAACACGAGTGGAACACTGCCATAATGGCTCATCTGTGCTCTCAATGTGGAGATAATCAAGAATTCGATATTTAGCCTCACTGGTGAGGTCATGAGATCCAACACATGAGCTCCCTTCATGGTAATAGCAATAGGTGTTATTGGTATTCATTAAACAAGTCTAATAACTTTGGTCGTAGTTTACAGTGGTGTACGGTACATGAAACGATAAACCAATAAAATGTGATGAAGGTTCTAACGCAGGGGTGTCAAACATACGGCCCGCGGGCCGGATCCGGCCCGCAAATGAGTTTAATCCGGCCCGCGAGATGATTATGTAAAGCAGTGGTGTCAAACATACGGCCCGCGGGTCGGAACCGGCCCGCAAGTAGGTTCAATCAGGCCCGCAGGATAATGTAAAAGTGAAAAAAATGCATTTATTACACAGAATTAATATTTTTAATCAGGTGCAATTCATTGAGTATCCGCAAGGGGACACTGTTTTGATCAGAGAAGAAGACAACAGCAGCCTCAGTCTGTCACTGAGACAGACCCATGACAGCAGACGCTATCAATAGCACTCTCACATTTACACATTTAATAGCACTCTCCTTAGTTTGTAAGGTGTAGGCAGGGATTACATTTAGATTTTATATGCACGTGTAAATGCTTTAAAACTTGCTTTCTTTATGAATCTTGTTTAATCTTTAAGTGCATTACTATATTTTTCAATACCAATTACTTGTTAAAGTTTGTACAATCAGTGGGATCAGTTGCAATGCATATATGTGAATGATAAAAGTAAATTACACATTTGTCGAAGGAAATGTAAGGTGCTTCATGAAATGTTTTGTAAAAGATATGTTCATTAAATTTCAACATTTTCCGAATGTTCTTGTGCTTCTTTATACCAAAACAAAGGAAAGACATATTGTTTTGGTTATTTATAGCAAAGTATTGTATCATTTTAATGGTCCGGCCCACTTGACATCTACCGAGGCCGTATGTGGCCCACCATGTGAAATGAGTTTGACACCCCTGTTCTAACGGTTAGTAACACTGTTGCATATTTTCATTAGCATTAATATCTTATTTAATGATGCCGCTGTTGGCAACCCAAAAGTGACCAGCCACAAAGTCTGCGACTTTTTCCGATGTTATTAGGACCCACATGGAGTTCACCCCCTCTGTGTCCAGAGTGCAAGTTCTAATGGTGTCGGTTGATTAACTGCTGCCTCATTGCATGTGTGGGTGCACAATGAATAGAAACAACAATAATAATACCAACAGGTAAAACCCAACCAGTCTCTGTCCATTCCCTTCAGTGGAGGGAAAACAGGGTATTAGCCCTGAAGTGCAGGTATCCCTGACTTCAAAAACTAGCCTCCCTGTTGTACAAGTAGATTTTGTTTAGCTTTTTGAATTCATACTCAAGCAGTGTCTAATTCTTTTAGTGCAGCATATAAGGTTTTTTTGTGTGTTCAGTTACTTTTAGGAATATCGTGGTATACCAAGAATCGTGATGTGACATTTTCATATCGTTTCATCTCTAGTATACATATGCCAAATACAATCAAAATGTGGTCTCCTTAAATAAGGAGAGTACATCGTCTACTCCCCCAAAAACAATAAAACTAAACAAACAAATAAATAAAACGGTGCCATACATAATACAAGACACCTTCCTATTATGATAACTGCAGCCTACAGTATCAGTATGGTAATAGAAAAAAAATTCACACTGCTCTTGTAATGGATTATTTTGATTAGATTTAGTCTTTAATTGTGCAAGTGTCTAGTCAGTGTGTCCATAACAGCATAGTGTGTGTGTGTGTGTGTGTGTGTGTGTGTGTGTGTGTATTGCTAAAAAGAAAGAAAAAAAGGGAGGGGGGGCATAAGGGGGCCAGGGCAGCAGTGTTGATATGGGAGAGGGGACTGTGGAGGCATACTTACACCAACTTAGTGCCAGATTGTTGGGCTGGAGAAGATCCTGCGATCCCCCTGCCATAGAGTTAGAGCTCCCTGCTGGGAATAACCAGTCACATTGTTACAGCAGCTATCGCTAGAAGCTGGCCCGAAGGACCAGCAGAACTACTTACTACAAGCCTCTAATGTGAGGTTCAGAGAACGATTTGAAGAAGAAGCCAGCAGGAAACAGGAGGGGGAAACAAAGCCTTTTTAAAGTAGTCATATCATTGACTTGCTAGCAGCTCATGCACCTGATTAAGAGCTGGTGTTGCTGGGATCAGAGAGGGGAATCTAATTTTATTGCTGCCCCTTGCATGGGTGTATGCCTGCTAACCCCCTAGCCAACCCCCCCATTCGGAGACATGACGAAACCATCACAAAACAATCAGTGAGCTTGCAATTGTTTCCCTTTTAACGCAACACAAAACAGAATGGGTGAGATGTACAACAGAACCAGACATGTGAACCATGAAACTAAAAAAAGGCTTTGTAGCTCAGAGACACGATTAGAATGTAACCTGATAAACATATTTACATTGTTTGTTCAACCAGAACTCAGATTCAATGTCGGTGAGGCTTTATACATAAAAGTATTTCACCTGAGCTCGTATTAAGGAAAATAATGGCCTATTTCTATAGAATCTAAATTACTTTCTCCATGAGGGAAAAGAACATTCATTAAGAGCAGTTTAACGCACACAGCAAATCATAAAGATTATTTAAAATTCATGGAAAAAGACGCAAGATAAGCGATGCAAACATAAGAGAGGACATGCTTAAAATGAGGCGGTAGCAGAAGGAGGGAAAAAAAGAAGAAGAAAGAAACGTTCAAGGAATTAAAAGGGAACGTGTGGACGATTCACTCACTAATGTCATCATCATCATCATCATCATCCACATCATCATCATCTGCGGCATCATCATCATCCTCCATACCTTTCCCCCCACAACAAAGCACAAAGGGGGTACGGCGCTCCACAACAGCCCGACACTGTACGCACTTCTTCATGAGGCTGGCACAGTCTGGACGGACAAAGAGCAAAACAGTCAACATCTCATTTCTATCTTATGTTCGTGTCAATATTTTGACATGCCCAACTTACTCTCACAAGCGCACATGTGGCCGCAGGGCTGGAACAACACAGCCGCCTTTTTGTCGGAGCATACCACGCACTCCTCAATCTGTAAGTGACACACAGATAAATGCCTCTCTCTACATAGATGTCTCCCATAGGCCTTCCAATAAGAAAACAAAATCGAGTGGTAATACGATGCAGGGCTCATGTCTGTATATTCCCACCTACGGACTTCTGTCAAATCGAAATTCCCTCACCCGGAATAAAAAAATATGCATTAAAATTTCGACTATGA